AGCAGATTCGTGTTTGAAAATAAAATTGAGTGGACCATGGATCTTAGTTTGTTGCAAAACGTAGCTTTACATGTAATTGATGATACTATCAATTCCAGATACACACTTCAATTAACGGTAAAGCTATTTGTGTACCTTTATCATTATCCAATTATTTAAATATACAATATCCACTCACATTTCATATTTTATAATTTCAACAAAGTTAAACTCTTATTTCAACTGCAAATTATTTTAAAAAATGCTGTCTTATATTTTTCCTTGTAACAGTCACAATCATGATCTCAAAATTCACATGGCCGTCTACTGTACTTTAAATATTTATATCGTATAGTGTTACTTTGAGTAATGAAATCTTGCATTATGTTTAGTCAACAAAATGCAAAACGTTAGATATAGAAATCACAGTGTCAGTTACCGTTTGTGTTGTGTTCCTATCATTGTGTAATTTCCCTAAAAAAATCATGTTGTTTCGAACTTTTTATTTCAATTTTGGGGAACCTTTGTGGCCATAAGTGTGTAATGTATAATGCATTTATGCCGATAGCAATAGTGTGAACAAAAAGTTAAATTGTACTGTCACAAACCATGTTCAGTGATATATCATGTTGGGACTAGTTTTATGGATACAAATTATGGATCGCATTCAAAAAAGAAAGAAAAGAGGGTAAAAACAAATTGTGTTAAATATTTATTCAGTGTTCCCATATTTGTACATTTCATCGTTTCTTAAACAAAACAAAAAAAACGACTATCCTGTTTGTATAATCTATGTACATCAAACTTATTGGAATGTAGGCATATAGTAAGAAATATAATTTTCATTATAAGTTTAAAATTTTAAACATTAAATGATATATTTGAAAACAATTCTATGAGTTCTCTTCCTAAAATTTCAGATAAGATAGAAGAATATTTAAAGTTGTACTTGAAGTGTTTCTAATTATAGTACCTATAAGTACACCTCCTATATTCATATTTTCTTCAATTAGTAAGCGTTTGCGTTGAAGTATAATTGATGCTACCGAGAAGCTCAAATAAATCAATATTCGTTTCGTAGTGAAGACAATTGTAACCATAAAGTATAGAGAATCTTGAGCACAAAGAAGAGTATTATAATCTTATTGAATAAAAATTACGCACAACCAGTTTTTTTACAATTCAGATCTTTCTTTATACTGGTTGTGCGAATAAGTTTTAAAAGCTGCTACACTACTTCAAGAGTGTATATTCTTCAAAATGAAAATTAGAAGGTAGTGTGAACGTCAAAATAAACAAGAAAGTATAAAATGTGCAAAATTTTTCCAATTTTCCTTTGCCTTCTAAACTCTAAGAAAAGGCAGATTTAAAAAGTATGTAGTAATTATCATTTTTTCCTATGTTGGATCGTCTGTCCTTTTGGAGATGTTAAAAAACTTATTATGTATTATATTCTATAATATATAATAAGGGAAAGAAAATATAGTATAAAAAATATATTTTTTAGTTTAACGCAATTCGCAAGCATGAAATTATTCATTCATATCTTCGTAGGTCGACACTAACAATTTATTTTTTATCTAATATATACTGTTAGAAACAAATTCAATGTTCACACAGATCCGGAATGTAGTATATTAACGTTGTTCGCGCTACAAATATAAGCAGTCGCAAAGTATTTACGAAAAATGTTCTCTTGCTAAAACGATTTTGCTCGACTGTATCTTCAGTCGCAATTGTAAGTGAAATATCAAAGACTTTACAAACAACAGTAGGAAATATTCTGATCGTGAACAAAGACATTGCACGTACGTACCAATGTTCAGTAACCATCACGTATTTCACTAATCTATTTTGTTTTAGTTATAAATAAGACTATGCAATAAACAATGTATTATTAGACAGTATCTTCACACAATTATTGGACAAAATTATGGCTCGAAATTTTACAAACTTCTTTAATTGACCTTCGGAATGTGACATACTTTTCAATTTTTATAAAAAAATTTTAAATTATTTTAGTTATGCTTATGGTCTATTGCATATATGCACGATAAAACTGTGAAATTATTCGTACATTGATGTAACAATAATATAACTTTAAACGTTTAACAGAGAAGAAATCTACTAAAAGTAACAAGTATAATATAATACAATAAAAGTAAGATTCAAACATAACGAAATATAATTGTATGTGACAGTGACAACTTATTTGTAAATGTTATTGTGTATTGAACATTGGTATTTATTCTATATTACTATATAATAAGAATAAAATTTAAAAACATAACAAAATATTTACATCTTTATTTATAACTGTAAACACGAAAACGCAACTGTTATGAATAAAGATGTCCCTTCGTACATAAACCATTGGCATTGACAGTTATTATGATACTAATTACTTCCTGAGATACTTTCATGTGCCAGTTTTACTACAAGTATGATGTTTAAAAATCACGCAGTGCTACTTACTGATACGCGTAAAATAAATATTTCGTTCTTCAAATAGATCAGTGAAGTGGAACTTGAAACATAGTGTACGAGATAAAATGTTTCTTTTCAGTTTGGTTAATCGTCATTATCATCGTTTGCATGTTACCGAAAATGGTTTTGGCGTCATATTTATATAATCTGATTAAAATCCAGGCTCTAATCGTACGGATAACACACTATTCAACATTTCACGAATTTCCGCCATTTCCCTCCTATTTTTTTTCACTATTTTCTCAAAATTCTTATTTTCTTGAATAATTTTGTCCATCTTTTTCCAATACTTCGTAGAGCCGGAACGACAGCAACAACAATTTGTCGTACCCTCTCCACTATCATTACATGTTTGTCTTAAAGATTGACTTTTTTCTACGTAGTGTTTACTGACATTATGATGTTTTTCTTCGTCTAAACTATCATCTATACATTGAATGGAATCACCTATATCTTTTGAAAGTGTACTGCAATGTATACTGCAACTTTCATCTTCATTTTTTGATTTCGCATTTTCCGTGATCTTTTGGAGTGATTTCGCTTGAATGTTCTTATTATGTTCACAGGCATTTATCTTTTCTTGAGTGTTAACTACTTTCTCTTCCATTGCATCGGAAATACACGACTTAGAACTACAGTAATAAATTGCATCCACGTCGTTTACTCTAGCCTGACGTTTCAACGTTTTTCTTCTTTGTGATAAAACCGACTCGCTATTGCCATTCTCAATCGTGTGAACAAAACTATCGCTGTGTCTTCGAGCCTGATCCATTGATAAATCTTCCCCACGTTGTTTTGTATCGCAGGATCCATCGCTAGCTCTTCGAATATCAGAGAAATTTTGTAATTTTATATTTAATAAGTTATCCTCTTTGCAATCAATATCGTTCCTCGATTTTGTGGTTTGTACATCTACATTCTCTGTATACGTCGTTAGTGATTTAATAATGTTATCGTTGCAAAGTTCTATTCTGTCATCAAACGATAATTTCTTTGGTACTATCTTGTCCATTTCCTGGATTGTTATGTCGTCAAACGTTTGATCTACATTTGTGTTTTCTAAATTTCTAGATATTCGTGATCTTTCGATTGAATTAGGATCATTGCTTCTTAGATTGTCTTCGCACGTTCTTTTCATATCGGAAGGATTGATTTCAATTAGGTCCCCGTCGTGCCCAAATGCGAAAGACTTTTGTCCTGAAGCATGTATGTTTTCACACAAAAATTTGCCATGTGAAATTAGAATGTGTTTAATTAAAGAAATATCTAAAATGTACTCGTTTCTTACCGATAATCATACGTTTATTACGCATATCAGGACTTTTCGATCGTGGTCTCTCCAAAAACTGTCTATTATCGGGCGATAGTACGGACAGTGTACCGCTTTGTTGAAATGGACTATATTGCTCGCAAGAATTGTACATCGCATATGGATCGTGTTCATGACTTTCATGCTCTCGTAAACGTTGCATAATTTTTTGTACAATTTCTGACGGTGCTACGTATGGTGAACCTATTACATATAATAGAAAATTATCTTAATATGGAGTGTACAATACACTTTACAATAGCAATAACGTTAATAACTCATAATAACAATAATAATGATTACGGATTAAAGGGAAAAATTATAATTGAATAATTATGTTCACTACACATAAATTCCACGGTAAAGTATCTGGTATCCTCAAATTTTATGAATAAATATAATTTTTAACATTACAAGCATTACTCTACGCAATATAATAAATAAAAATCCACCTTGATTGATGCCACTATAATAAACTCTAATAGTCTTCTGCATTTTTTTAGAGTTCAATGAAAATAAAAGAAATCAAAAAATGTTCCAAATGCATACACATTCACAAACAGCTACGAAAAAATCAAAATAGATATCATAATTTATAATAAATTATGTGTCCTATCTGTCAGTAGACTTACAAATTTAATTGGTCCAGAATGTCTGCGTTGTGGAAATAGTCGAGACACAGATAATGTGCCATCGCTTCCTACAAAATTATTATTGCCATAACATAGTATCACTATTGACTCTCAAGAATTTATCCATACAGCTTGTGCATATTTTTTGCCATTTGATGTATTGACATTTATAGATTATCTTATTTGTTGTTCAACATTTCATTTTTGCCTTGAAACATTAATTCATGATTTGTTTTATAGTTTACCTGTTAATCCTCGGTATCCTAAAGATACAGAATCGAAAGACTCGCTAGTCTCTTGTTCGTGCTTCACAAAATCATTAATGGCTATGCCTTTGAGTTTCGATGGTTGTAGAAACCTTTTTGGTATACGGGAAAGAGAACCATTTTCTTGAGGACTGCCTGAACAGCCACCAAATCCTAGGCCAAGTAAAATAGCTTCTGGATCAGCTTTCCTCAGTTCTAACAAGCTTTCCACGCTACTGCAATGACTGCTATCAGACTGTAAACTTGGATCACGTACCAATTTATGAGGCAGTGAGCTAAAATTGAGGAAAACTATAGTACTCTAAACAAGTATTTTGTATGCAGATATTGAAAAGATTATCCTGTACCTATACCTTGGTAGGCCAGATGTATTGATCGTTGATGTACTAGGAACATTAATAGGCGCTGATATGGTCATGGTTGGGGATTTTATTCCCACAGAATATGGAATGTCTTTAGGCTCTGTTGGTGTCAATGAAGAAGCAGTAACTGTTTCCAAAGGTACATCTTGACATGGGCTTGCCATTGATAAATTTGATTTTGCGGGTGATGGTAGTGAATCAACCCATTGCTGCACTGGTCCGGTTCGACGTCTCATCTCCCAAATGCCACGCAGCCAATTTGCTACCTTAACAATTGTATCTATGCCAACGTTTTCTAATCAAATACAAATAATAATTATGGTTAGATATTTAAAATCACTGACATTTACCATAGTAATTTGATGCAAAGCAATAAAATAATTTTAACTTGTAAATATACTTTCATTGAGTACATGCAATTTATTATATATTCATTAGCAGAGCTATGTGTATTAAGTACGCGCGTAAAGAATATTCTATGCACAGAACAATTACATAATTACGTGAATTGCAAGTTTTGTCTTTTTAAAAAATCTATGAATGAATATGAAGCATTATTTAAGTACCTGGGTCCATATCCTACGGGCTACGGGCAGCGCGAATAAAATAATAACATCATTAAAATGAAGAAAACTGAACACACGTCTTGTTGCACAAATACGCATTAGCCAGTTATTGTTTTTATATGAAGTTACAGGATTATAATTTTAACGTTACAGACATACTGTTGCATTCGATATAATAAAGTTCTACCTACCTTCTAAGTAAACGGAATATCACAGTACACAATGCATTCTTATACGGATGGAAACGCTTGCAAACACATGTTCAGAGAAGCATCGTTCTCTGAACGATTTGTGCTCCGCGAACCGATTGAGAACAGAACGGCCACTTGTTACTTGTTCTTGTTACTCACACTATGGGAGTGTTTCAGGGCCGTTTGATGCAGTGGGCACCAGCTATTCGATCGTATCCAAATACATATGTGCAAGATGAACATTTCTTGTCATAATTACACTTTTGCTTTCTCTAACCATAAAACCACCATGTTTTTATAGAAAAACAATTTCTGTTTGTAAATAAGCAATGTTCTGTGTTTAGAAACAACGTACATCAAATAAACTACATTTAAAATCGAAAATATTTTTGATTGATGCAAACTAGTTTCGTAAATTAAAAGTGTATTTACATGTGAAAAAATGATAATCTCATAAAATCTGAGCTAAATGCAGTTATTTCTGTACGTGTATGTGGAAATATGTATCTCGGCACGAACATCGTACGTACATGATGCATAGCTACACGTACATGTACTTATGTGTGACTTGCCATCCAAAGTGCATATCGTGTACATGTACATGTACACGTGACAGAGTTAAGTTGTATGAGTGTATTGACAAGTTATATAGTCTCAGAGTCATCGAAGGGCGCGCGAGTCTTTAGTGTTGAATTAGAAATAATCTAGAACCTTCGATCATGTCATCCCGTGGGAGGAAAAATAAAAAGAACGTATTGACGAAACGACCTCGCCATGTGGTTGGAAAAGAGGAAAGATATCTCCAAGAAAGAGACAAATCCGATAAGGAGGACGAAGAATCAGGTTAGGTACACTTTGTTGCATGTTTCTGAAGAAAGCTAAAAAAAACTGTATTGGCAAATTTGTTTAGAGGAAGACGAAAGATGGTCTCCCCCATTCCCGGTCGCTATGTGGGATCTTGGACACTGTGATCCGAAGAAATGTTCCGGCAAAAAATTGGTTAGGCATGGCCTGGTGAAAATATTGAGGTTAGGTGTTCGATTTTCAGGTTTGGTTCTGACCCCAGTTGGCCAAAAGGTATAGTACTTACATTCATATAAGAGGATTCGGTTTAGGATAAAGTTTAGTTTATAACAAAGCACTGCTCAAATTTAGTTCATATACATATATATATATATATATATATATATATATGGATTGTATGTATAATGTATAAACTTAGTTCCTTCTTTCATAGAATGAATGAAGAAGATGAACGAATGTATTTCAAGTAAAATATTCTGTTTCAGTGTGTCAGTCCAACCGACCGTGACATCGTACGTGATTACGGTTGCGCCGTCGTCGATTGTAGTTGGGCGCGTTTAGGCGATACTCCGTTCAATAGAATGAGGACTCCGAATCCTCGTCTCTTGCCGTTCCTAGTCGCCGCGAATCCAATTAATTATGGCAAACCTTGTGAACTGAGTTGTGTGGAAGCTATAGCAGCTGCATTGTTCATAACTGGATTTACAGAGGAAGCCAAATTCTATCTTGGCAAATTTTCTTGGGGCCATACGTTTTTGGAAGTAAATGATGAATTGCTGAAGAAATATTCACTGTGTACAAATTCGGAAGAAATTATAGCGACGCAAGAAAAATTTATTGCCGACGCGAGGCAGGAAAAGATCGATAGACTCGGTAAAATTACAATTATTTATACCATTTTAATCCAGATAACCGACATTACTTTCGTTTCTTCCCGATAGCTGTTTCAGACTATCCGCCGACTGATTCGGAAACGGAAGAAGAAGAGGAGGAGGAAGAAGAGGAGGAGGAAGAAGAAGAACAAAAAGAAGGAAAAGAAAAAGCAAACAGTTCAACATCTGCACAGGGCGTTTCTGAAACAGGCAAACATTTAAACGACTTAAATATAACTTAAAGATTGTACATATTTCCGGCTTTCCTGTACTCGTCCGGATAGCATGATTCGCATCACGCGTTAGCGCGTCTTAAACATACAAGAAGACATACGCCGTAGAAAAGAAGAAAACGATTGAAACATGTACAAAGTGCTCGACTACGTATAGTGTATGTTTTAGTATGTAACTTTACAAGTCAGAAATAAGGATTTTTCTTTCAGTTATTAATTTTTAAAACCACCAATAGAAGCGTGTAAATCATTTCACCATCTTCATTTCATTGGAAACATTTGTAATAGTTGCCTGCAACACGTAGTCGAAGATTCTGTACATTCATCCGATACGTGTGGTATATGTACAAGGTAAGTGTAAATTATATTGCGGCTGTGAGGTATCGTGCTTTACCACGCATGCGCCACTGGAATAAGATTCAAGATGGCGGGAGGATATCCAGACAGGCGAGAGCGAAGCGATCGGACGGTCGCACAGCTGATAGGACAGTGACGTCAGTAAAACAAAGCCATGCGCGGTCGATCGGAGCCGCGAAGCAGACCGAACGAACCGNAAAACTGTATTGGCAAATTTGTTTAGAGGAAGACGAAAGATGGTCTCCCCCATTCCCGGTCGCTATGTGGGATCTTGGACACTGTGATCCGAAGAAATGTTCCGGCAAAAAATTGGTTAGGCATGGCCTGGTGAAAATATTGAGGTTAGGTGTTCGATTTTCAGGTTTGGTTCTGACCCCAGTTGGCCAAAAGGTATAGTACTTACATTCATATAAGAGGATTCGGTTTAGGATAAAGTTTAGTTTATAACAAAGCACTGCTCAAATTTAGTTCATATACATATATATATATATATATATATATATATATGGATTGTATGTATAATGTATAAACTTAGTTCCTTCTTTCATAGAATGAATGAAGAAGATGAACGAATGTATTTCAAGTAAAATATTCTGTTTCAGTGTGTCAGTCCAACCGACCGTGACATCGTACGTGATTACGGTTGCGCCGTCGTCGATTGTAGTTGGGCGCGTTTAGGCGATACTCCGTTCAATAGAATGAGGACTCCGAATCCTCGTCTCTTGCCGTTCCTAGTCGCCGCGAATCCAATTAATTATGGCAAACCTTGTGAACTGAGTTGTGTGGAAGCTATAGCAGCTGCATTGTTCATAACTGGATTTACAGAGGAAGCCAAATTCTATCTTGGCAAATTTTCTTGGGGCCATACGTTTTTGGAAGTAAATGATGAATTGCTGAAGAAATATTCACTGTGTACAAATTCGGAAGAAATTATAGCGACGCAAGAAAAATTTATTGCCGACGCGAGGCAGGAAAAGATCGATAGACTCGGTAAAATTACAATTATTTATACCATTTTAATCCAGATAACCGACATTACTTTCGTTTCTTCCCGATAGCTGTTTCAGACTATCCGCCGACTGATTCGGAAACGGAAGAAGAAGAGGAGGAGGAAGAAGAGGAGGAGGAAGAAGAAGAACAAAAAGAAGGAAAAGAAAAAGCAAACAGTTCAACATCTGCACAGGGCGTTTCTGAAACAGGCAAACATTTAAACGACTTAAATATAACTTAAAGATTGTACATATTTCCGGCTTTCCTGTACTCGTCCGGATAGCATGATTCGCATCACGCGTTAGCGCGTCTTAAACATACAAGAAGACATACGCCGTAGAAAAGAAGAAAACGATTGAAACATGTACAAAGTGCTCGACTACGTATAGTGTATGTTTTAGTATGTAACTTTACAAGTCAGAAATAAGGATTTTTCTTTCAGTTATTAATTTTTAAAACCACCAATAGAAGCGTGTAAATCATTTCACCATCTTCATTTCATTGGAAACATTTGTAATAGTTGCCTGCAACACGTAGTCGAAGATTCTGTACATTCATCCGATACGTGTGGTATATGTACAAGGTAAGTGTAAATTATATTGCGGCTGTGAGGTATCGTGCTTTACCACGCATGCGCCACTGGAATAAGATTCAAGATGGCGGGAGGATATCCAGACAGGCGAGAGCGAAGCGATCGGACGGTCGCACAGCTGATAGGACAGTGACGTCAGTAAAACAAAGCCATGCGCGGTCGATCGGAGCCGCGAAGCAGACCGAACGAACCGTGCTGTCTCGCTGCCAAACATTGGGCGTCCGCGAAACAGTGAGCTGGATTTTCCAAGGTTTCTCGCGGGGAGAGGTACGGTTGCGCGCGCGACTACGCTCGTCTCGCGCTCTGCTCGCAGACGATGCCGTTCATATCGAAGGATTGGCGCAGTCCTGGCGAGGAATGGGTCAAGACCGTCGAGGGTTGGGAAAAGAAAAAAATCCTCGAGTGCGCCAACAATAAAACGCTTTCACTCCTGCTACGGTAAGTGCGACGCAGAGCGAGCGACTAAGTTGACCGTCGTCTCGACTCTTTTCCACCTTCTTGATGACGTTCTTTGTTTTGGAAATAACAACGGACGCTAAACGAGCGGTCCCGTCCGGATAGCTGGCCACGGTGACAGCTGTTACATCGATCGGATGACAGTTGGTTCTCGGTTTGTTTACAGTTGTGCTACCGTGTCAGTCGTATCGGTCGCGACCCTCGATCCGCGCTGCTCGTACAAATGCATTCGCCGGGCATATTCCGTACCATCTAAACGATTCATTCGCGAACTCGTCCACGTTTCCCGGCTCGTACAGCATCAACTGTTGTGTCCTCTCGCAATCGTCCTTCTTCCATGTGCTTGCTGCGTAATTTTCGCGTACATTTCCCGATCGGTACGGAACCAAATCGCTCGACGATTCCATTGCGATGTAAATAAACATCGCGACAGAAATGTCTCACGTTGGACTCGTTCTTTCTGTATCTTCGATCCTCGACGATTTATGCGTTGCTTTCGTAAATGCTATCGATTCGTTGCGAGCGCGACAACTTTTATCAACGGAGTTGTTCCACATTAGGAACAACCCGACGAGAGAACAAAAGTACAGTAATATCTCGTTCAACGAATCCTCCCGACAGCGAAACTGATCTCCGAGACATGCTCCTACTAAACGTTTCAAGTGAAAGTGACCCATTTACGCATAGTTGTTGAACGAAAGAAACTTTTTCCAAAGCTAATTTATGTTACTCGAATTTATACATGTACAATATTTTCAATAAAACGACACATCTCGAATCTGGCCATGTTATTTCTACCTCTGGTAACAAAGCTTTTCGTAACGAAGCAGTTCCCATAGAACGGTGCAGCCTCTCGCTTCGGCGAGGCATTACCGTACCGAATATTTAAAACTCGGCTCCGTGCAAGTTTATGCCGATTCGGCCACAATTCCAAGAATAACCGTTCTCGGCCGGATGACGTTCGAACGTTTTTGCAAACTGCTTTTTCCAGACCCGAGACTCTGGAGCCGGCTTTTAGCAGATCTTTCTGTTCACGTTATTATTCGTCCACGACGAATCGTTTCAATTAATGAAGCGCGCGCGCGCGCGCGCGTGCTCGCTCGTCGTGTTTAGGTTTATGTCTGCTGCATCTATTCCCATCTTGCTTTACGAGTCGTGTTGGTACACGACCGATGTACATACTTCGACACGTACACCAACACGGGGTCTTGCACGCATATTACGCTCCTCCAGCCCGGCGCGTCGTCGCGAGGCCGTGAAACCTGCAAATGCCTAGACTCGTCTGCAAACGGACAGGGATGCGAGCGGACTGTCGCCGCCGCGGTTTCGCGCGCTTCGTCGAAACAAAACGGGGGCCCCCCTTTCCGAGAGCCTTTCTTCTTCTTCTTCTTCTTCATTCCGTTCTCCGTTTACGGGCATACGTCGATCTCGATTTCTCGCACGCAATGCTCTGGGACCGAGTGACACGTGCATCATTGATTCGTTCGTTGCTCGAGTGCAGCAGGTAGATATCTATTCGGCGGCCTTGGGCTCGCGTGACTCGCTACGAAACTCGCTACGATCACCACACCCGAGATTCGTGCGAAACTATCGCGAACTACGACTTCCGCGGGCCATGAATCAAGTTCGGATCTGCTTGTATACGAGGCTTATTGTTCGAACGCGCGTTCCGAACTGCGCGTTTCTGTCCTCCTTAATCGAATTACTTTTTATTTATTACTTATTACTTTATTATATTATTATAGATGTATTTATTATATTATTATATAATATATTATATTATATATTATATCATATTCGAGAAATCAAAATATTACTTTGTTATACACCTTTGTACCGTCAGTATAAAAATTGCTAACGCTACAGTCGAAGTATTGAAAGTTTCTTCTCGCGGTGGCGAGAAGAAAATAAGTAATAAGTAATATATTATATAATATTAATTAATATTATATAATATATTATAATTAATATTATATTATATAATATATTACTTATTACTTTATTTATTACTTTATTATTTCTCGATTTTCTGAGGACCAGGTCATACGTAATGCACAATGCAATGCAGTATAATGCAATGCAAATAATAATAAAGAATCAGCGAGAGAAAATGGGTTCTATCGTAAGATTAATCGCTATTAACGTTGATTCTTTCTTCTTCCTCCTTCGAGTCTCTCTGATTGAGAAGGCGACGTTCCATTCGTTCGTCGACAGTATAGGTGAATTATTGTCGGAGGAGAAATATCCCGTGACCCTGTCCCGATACGGAAGTAGGTCGTGACCCAGCTGAACTAGACCTGTACCAATTTCGTGAATCTACTTCCGTTTCGGCGAGCTCCGAGTATGATACTTGCATACACGGTACTGGTATGGTTTCAGGATGTCGTCACGCTTCTGCCGTGCGCTTAGTTTTTCTTGCACACGTGCATGCATACCTATATTCGTATCGTCGCAAGTATGCATTACGAGCATTATATCGACGGTTACATAATGCCGTGAATTATTGGTGCGAGGTTTCTCTCCCTTGTTGTCGACGTAAGCGTAAGCGCGTTACATCAAGGTCTCTGCCAGTGACCATGCATCGACCGGGGTATCAACGATTCGTCGACCTGAAACGACCACGCGAATCGGATACCCGATCGTATCTTCTGTCCTATTCCCGTTTATCATTTACTTCAGTTCTCGGACATCGATAAAACGTTTGTTGTAAACTGTAAACTGTCCGCCGAACGAGCGGTTCTGAAATATCGGCTTGAGATCCGGTTCTCCGGTCGATGGAAAAATAGACGCAGCCACTCGAACAAAGAAAGTTTGGAGTCGGGTCTCAATCGCGGATATCGAGGGATTTGCTCGATGAAAGGAACTTTCGGTTTCGCGGTGTGTAATGTTCGCGCGTTCGATTTCCACGTTGCGCCGTTACAACCGATGAATCCGTACCGTTACAACGGCGAGGATCGCGTGAACCAGTCCGCCGATGATTAGCCTGCCCGTGATTCGGACGGTTTATTAACCGAAGGATCGAGAATACAGCGAGGTGTAAGACACAGGTCCGTTTGGCTGTTGCAGCGGCGACAAGGATGCACTGGACAACAAGAAGGAGAAGGACAAAAGGAAGGGTGAGTGGTAAATCCTTTCGCGTCGAAAGGCGCCGACCCGCGCCGTTCTTCGAGTATTTTTCAACTAACGTTTTCTCTTTGTTTCGTATAATTTTAGAGAACGTCGTCCAGCCGCATTGCCACATCACGCTCAAGTGCACGCGCGAGGTGAGTGACTCGTTCCAGACCTGCTTATATTTAACTCGGACCCCCGAAAGGGGAAACGAGGAGCGAGATGCGATTCGTTCGGTTGGAAAGGTTGTTACGTTTGTTGCTCACGGATCAACCCTCCGACCACGTTCGCATACCGACACGGTGGATGGCGGACGAATGGTTCGGTCCTGGATCGACGAAAACACGAGAATAATTCGTTCAAGTACAATTTTACCCAGCCTGTGTATTATTGTCCCCCTGTGTCAGGGGGGCGATCGTGAGTTCTGGTAGGCGAATTAAAATGATCCGACATTAATCGCGCTAGAGTTTAACAGAGAGCAACGAATAAGCATGTGGGACGGATGCGAAAGGGAACGGAAAGAGAAAAGAAACCGTACAAACGGGCTGGGATTTGTACGACTGCTATCCTTGATTAAGAAACGAACCTGACCAGAGGGAGAAACCGAGGGGAATATCGTTACAGCGGGGTTAATCCGTTGTTCGCAGATTGCGGGTTTCAACGGGTTGAGCGACGCACTGAAGAGGCTTGACTTTTTGTCCGCGGTGCACGATTGCCGGCGTTTCAATTACATCGTTCGACTGCTCGACCTTCTGGTCAGTCACAGAATGGGCGGTCTCAGCGGATGCGCCCAGCGAGTTTTGTTCAACATGCTCGAAGAAGTTGCGCTGGAAGGTAAAATCCATGAAGCTGGAATAATTTGCATCGACGATCGATCAGTCGCAAACCGTTCTAATCCTTTTTACGACGCGTGCTTGTAGTGTCGTTGTCGCAGCAGCAAACCGGGAGGCTTCGCCGCTTAATCGAAAGAGTACGAGCGTTTAGCGCGGGGTGCTGTTGGGGTGGAAGACCTCTAGGCTCTGTGATCCTGTGGGAGAAACACAAAGCAGCTCTCGAGAGAATCTTGCAGATCGCATCATCGATCACTATAACTCAGGTGCGGCCTGCTGATAACGTCGCTGATTTTTCGCTAATTTTTCGACTTCGATCTCTCTTCCTGTCATTCGCGGGGTCAATGAAAAGCAATCTTTTTTTTTTTTTTAAATTCAAAACTATTAATTAATCGTCGTGAATTAATTTAATCGTCACGGTGTTCGTTCACAGCCGGACGAGAAACAACAGCCGCAGTGGTCCGATTTGCCTCCTGAATGCCGTCGAGAAGTGCTTCTGCGACTGAGCGACCCGCGGGACATCGAAGCTTCTTCGGAAGCCTGCGAACATTTGGCTATACTGGCTCAGGAACAAAGAATTTGGCGAGAGCTTGCCCAGTACCATTTCACGCCCCAACAGATAACCGCTACCAGACAAAATAATCCTGGAAAAGACTGGAAATCTATATTTACCATTGCTCGAAGGTGCAGTATGCGTGCACGGTTGCAATAATCGAGACTGATCTTCGTTACCGGCGTACAGCAGTGTTGGATGGTTAAAATCAATGGTTCCTTCTGAAACGGATTGCTTGACACGGTTCAATGAATATTCGATTGTTTAGGCTTTCAAAATCAGCAGCAAAGAAAACGATTGTTTAAGTTGCAATATTGCTGCACGCCCTATGGGAGCTTCGCTCCCATGGACGTCTTATGTCGCGACAACGATACTGTACGTATAAGATCACAAACGAGATATCTCGCGACGTAATGTCGCTTTTGCGGTGCCACGGACGTGTTATCACGCGAAGCGAAGTTATATCGCCTGTAACCTTATACAAACAGTATTGCCGTCGCGACATAACACGTCAAAGGGAGAGAGAGCGAAGCGGTTAAGTAAGGGTCGCATAATTGTAATATGCACCTTCATGGCTAATATATATATTTTTAATAATATATATATATATAATATATATAATAAATAATATAATAATATATATATAATATATATAATAAATAATATATATATATTTCAGGTCGTTCGGACTCCGAGAAGAATACGCAGAGATGATTCAGTTGTGCCGCAACTGCCGTTGCTTATTTTGGCGGTCGTTGGGCCATCCTTGCATCGCCGACCAGGATCCAGCGTTTCAAGAGAAACTAGCGGACGTGGATCAAGCCTCTCTTCATGTTCCGATTCCTCCGCAGACCTTCCTCAAGTTCTTCTCGCTATGAATGCTTCGCACGCGGCCGCGAAGCCTGAACGCGATCGAATACGTACCACAGAAACGTCGGGACCGATCGCGATCACGATTGTGATCGATCTCGTCCGAATACCTGGGATTTGCCAGCTAAGCGGCGCGTGGCCCAAATATCAAACTGAAAAGTGGGCAACTACTTCGCGTTCGAAACGCGTTATTCTTCGCCTAGAGACTTTAACGTTGTCGTGCAAACTTCGAACTAACATTATGAGAGAAGAATATCATTTTCGCAGGTTATATCCGTGCTCCAATGTTTCTCCGGTTTCGAACCGATCGCGGAGAATCGTTAGCAACTTTTTTCTCGCTAGTTTCGTTTTTCTCGAGATGTTCAAGATTCTTAACGCGACGACGCGCGAAATTCCGCGAACGTACTTCTAGCTCAAACACGTCTCGCGTTTCGTGGATATTTGAGCGGTAAAACATCGGTTGTTACACGAATGTACAAAATTCTGGATTCGTTATGCGCGAAACGAAAACACGAATTCGGTGCTGCTCCGAACGCGCGGGTACAGTGCGTTTCGACGACGCACGCACGACACCCCGTTTAGAAAATTATGCGACCGTTCGCGGCGTTCTTTTGTCCCTCCTCTCGGCAGCTGTTGCAACGACACAGTTCCCATTTAGGTGAATTTATTTTCGAATTTTTGCATTTATTTCAGTCGTTCAAAGCGTTTTTACACTTACTTATATCCGTTTTTATATGTATATTGTACGCGCCATACGTTCCACAACGGAAGTTCGTATTTTATCCTCGTCGAAGACGGAGTTCGAAAATAAGCTACGTACATTTCGAATAATACAGACCAATGTCCGAACATGATCCTATCGCAATTCTAAAGCCGAAGAGATTACGATCTGGCTATCAGTTGTCCAAACAGTAGTTCGGATCCACGGACGTAAGGAAAGAAAGATAGAAGGAATGAAAACAACCGCATGCAGACTTCGTCTTCGCGTTCTGTATACTCGTTCAAGAAAAAGGAAAAATCTCCTATTTACGATGCTTAGTATACATTTATTGTATGTACTGGTTCAGCAGTAACGTCGTCGGGTTTTCCAAGATGTCGTAGATGTTGTATGATATTTAATGATCTTTTTTCATTTGAAACGCTAAAAATTATACTGCCAAAACGGATGCTATTGCATTTAGACGAATTGAAGCGTTTTCTGTGTAAATTCAGTTAATAACAAATACGGCATAGTTGTTTTGATATTACGTTTTTCTTAATGGCAACAGTTACGATCGTTGCACGCGTGTATATGTATAGTTTACTACCTTGACGGATTAGTAGAAGAAAAATCGAACGACCAAACAAACGGTGTACGTAAAACCTACATACGTTCTTTGGCAAATAAATTCAACACGAGCTACGGGATATCGGTGCAAAATTCTAGTAGCTCGTCGATCGTTGCACTGTTTCATGCACCGACCTGCGCGCTCTTGGATCGACATTATTTTATTTACGTAAATAACTGTAGAGCAGCGTTGTGTAAAATGCTTTAAAATAAAAAATTTATCTGTATATACATTAAATTGTTTCCTGAATTGTGCGTATCAAAATTGAATGGTTTCCATCTGACATCCTTTCGGGTCTCTTATGCAGGAACCTCCTCGTGGTGAGACCTGGGCAATCGGTATTACTCTTGGTTTATGACATTTCACGAATCCTAGATAATACCGAGCTGATGACTGCATATTTAGAGTTTATAACAGTTAAGGTACTTAATATATTTCAAGACTAAAGTGAAGTTATGATAAAACGTTGTAGGATAGAGCATTTTTTCAAAATGGATCTTGAAAGATCATTCAACAGGTAAACAAATTTGTATATATACATATACAATGACAAGTATATATACATCTCAGAAAGTAAGAATTTTATAAAAAAGAAAAAAATGTTTTAGACAAATCTGTGTAAATAAACAAGTTTTACAAATTTACAATGTTTCCAAGTTCATTTAAAGACTTTCATTAATTAATCAAGACCATAGTTGGTTTTATATATTTTATTGAATTATGGAGCGACATTAAGTTTGGAATCATTTGGTAAAAATTATAATACAGTTGTTTGCGCTACTATATCGTTGTAAATGATACGGATTAGTCTATATATATCCGTAAAACGCACCTTCCGCGTAAGCTTTTTCCATATCCTCCGAATTCCTACGAAGTCGTCTTCCAACGGGCTCCAAATCATTATAACATCTTTTGAAAACTCGATCCACAGCTTCTTGAGCCTCACTTTCCGAAACTTTTCGTGTTGAAAGTATCGATTTAATAGCCTTGTCCTTGACACAAATCTAAGTAATAAATATTATAATATATTATTATAATGTAAATATTATAATATATTTATAATCTACCTGATGTGCTTCCTTAACGTTAAAGGGTGAAGCCAGTCCTTGTACCCATGCACCTAGAAAACTGCAATGACATAAATTGGCTGCTCTGATTTCTGTGCAAGCTAGGTGGTCAATATTTTTCGGATCCAAATTGTGACGGCAGAAATCAAACATATGAATCATTTCGTGAGCTAAAACACCTTGCACTAGTCTTTGAGATGGGGCAGTATTATGACAAACTACAATCTGAAAGACGAAAATTATTATATAAAGCATCTCACTTAATTAAATATTCCGAATAATTTTAATGGCTCCGGCACAGAAAACATTGAGATCGAATTATTTTCAAAAAAGTACTTAAGATTTACCTGATTTAAGTGGGGATCATATCCACCTGTCACTTTTGTATCACAAATTTCACAAGAAATATGTCGGCGAAGATCAATTTCACTGTAAATATAATTTTTATATAGTTTATTATATAAATATATGTGTTTAAGGTGGAAACACGTTTGGAAATCTGTTTTTCGTTATACGGAGTCGGTACCATTAAATTTACAGGACCTAGTCTTACTCTTTTCTCGCCAATGTTGGAAGGGTTGAAAACAATATAATTTCCATTATTTTTGAATATGTTATAAATCTTAACATTTTGAATAACTTTTTCCTTGTTTACTACAGTTCCCTATATGTATACACCGATTCGTGTTTGCAGTTCAATTGTAATTTATACATGGGTATTTAAATTTTGCGATTTGCCTCACCCTCAGATCTCCACATTCAGTAAATTACATTACAACATAATCCCTACACCGTGTGACATAATTTTTTAATCCCGAGGTTTGATCATCTTTCGTTAGCACTAATATCTTTATATTGCAATAATAGTTAGAAATTTTACAAAATTCTATTACATACCATCCAGAACTTTTTAAAGCTGCCATCATGAGTTTAACAAGAGCACCTAAAATGTTCGGAAACGTAAAAATTAATAATTTCATTATCTCCAAGAATTTCAGTAAAATAACACATTATTATATTATTATATATTATAATATTATTTATATATTATTATTATATATATTACTGCTGTGAAAAATATGTTGAAATAATTATGTAATATATTGTAGAAAAGCTTAAACTTAATAAAGTTTATGCCGATCGTAAGTGGTGGGACGTGTTTGAAAATATCAGTAAGTTCCGCGAATGCCATATATGTAGAATGAGAGTGTAATCAGAGAAAGTGTAAGAGTGTGAGTAAGAACGTAAAACATTGTATGTGATCCCATCGTTGACGCACGATCAGCTGTTACCGCTGATGCGGCCGCAGCCATACATTCACACGCAACCATGTCACCCTCAAGAAATCGAAACACATACGAAATTCCTGAAATGCTATGTAAATAATTTCTTTACATTACTTACGGAAGATGGTAAAATAATCAAAGACCGACCATCGGGTTATAATTGACTTTTGACTGTTATAAATGTGAATCATCACAAAACTAAAAATTCTTTAAAAACTTCTATCATGGAAGTAATGATGAAAACGGATAAATAGTAGATAAAGCATCTGGGTCAAATCTAGGTATAAACTGGTTGACAGCTGATGGAAGCTAGGTCAAATAATTTAATTCTTTATATACGAGAATACAGAAATGTCTTGATATTTGTGAAGACTTTGAAACCAAAATATCACTTATGTTGTGTACAGGTACTATTATTACATAATTTTTCATGTTCTCATTTACTTTTTTCTGAAACTTTTGTGAATATCTATATAATATGTTTTAATTGAAAAATATGTAATACTGAGTGTAATTGAACGGATCAATTAAACAAATAAATATTATCCAAATTATATAGTGTTTGATATTAGCTTAATAAGAAAAAAGTCATAAATATATTGATAAGTGTCTCATAAAAAAATAATTAAGAAGAAAAATGTTTTATCAATAGATT